GTAGGCTGGTCTTTTTGACAGGTGAAGCTAGCCAAGATTAAAAAATTTTAAATGCATAACTGAACACTACAGCCTTTATGCTTTTTGCAAAGGGCAGCCACAGGCCAAAGAACCAGTGGTCGATAAAAAAATAAACAAAACCTATATTTGACATTAGCCAATTTGGATAACATGACCTGGGATTTGGCAGCATAAAATCTGGTGCCAAGTATGGCCTGAACACAGGAAACAATAAGCATGAAAACTTTTGAAGTTTTGAAGAAAACGACTTTTGAAAACTTGTGCTGCAGAACTCACTCTGGTGTGGTGTACGCTCTTTCAGCATTCACTGGACTCGCAGAGAGTTCCTGCACTTTGGAAAAGATCAGTGATTACACCAATCCCAAAAAAGTCACATCCTTCTGAGAACAATGATTTTAGACCCACAGTACTAACTTCAATCGTAATGAAATGCTTCGAGAAATATATTGTGTCCATTCTGAAAAGTGAAGTATCCTCAAAACTAGATCCATGGCAGTTTGCTTATAAACAGGGCAGAAGTGCAGAAAATGCAGTTGGAAGTATTATCCATTTAGTTTCTAAACATCTGGAGGACCCAAAGGCATATACATGTCTTCTTTTAATTGATTTTAGCTCAGCTTTTAACACTGTGCAACCTTATTTATTATTAGAGAAACTGAAACACGTGGATGTAAATCCTTATATTATAAGATGTTTTTTTTATTTCTTAACGGGTAGAACCCAACAGGTTAAGGTCAATAAGACGATCTCTGACTTACAATATATTAGTACAGGAGTACCTCAAGGATCTGTGAGTTCCTCAGTTCTCTTCACATATTGTTTTACCAAGCTGTACTAGAGAATGTAATCAGATACGGTATACACCTTTGGTATGGTAATCTGACGGTACAGTTGAAATCAAGGCTTGGACGTTTTATTCAAACAGCCATGAAAATCTTGGGCAGGATAGAATCTCTTTATCTCCAGACTCTATATGAAAAGTCTATGCTGAGGGAGGCAGATAAGATTCTGCATGATACAACACACATTTTGAACTGTGAGTTTGTAATGCTGCCCTCAGGAGATTAAGAATTCCAAGATGTAGATTAAATCGGTTCAAGAACTCGTTTATTCCTTCTGCAATTAAGCTATTAAATAACATTATGTAAGGTTAGGTATTTCTGGATTATTATTATTATTTTTGTTTTTTTTCCCTTTTCCTTATTGTTATATGTTTTATGTGACGTGGTGGTTGTGTTTCTGAGCCTAAGACAAATTTCCCTCAGGGACAATAAAGTGTGTAAACCTAACCCAAGCAACTTTCATCCTGCAATCACCAAAAACATCACTGTGAAGATACTCTCAACTTTATTTGGAGGATAGGACCAAAGCCTTTTGAAATTTCAGAGATTACCACATTTGAATAGTGCAACACCATTGTCAACTTCAAGGTTTTATGAATAAAACTAGCCTAATATTTTTGAGCCCTAGAATTTGCTTAACCCCAAAAGTTTGGTAGAGTCCAGGTGGTGAAAGTTGACAAACTGCACGAAGACATGCAGTACACAAACCTAACTGCTTTAAAAACAGAACTGTGCCGATCCTTAGGCACTTTTTAAATACAGAGACGTTCATGAAAAAGCTCAAAGAAAACATTTGCAATCAATAAAAGGAACTACTGTACGGTTTTAGAAAAATCCAGCTGCAAAGCTTAAATTATATCTGCAATACATTTATGTTGGTTCTGTTCACCCTAGGGGGGTTATCGCTGCTCTCCCTGCTCTCATCCATGATAGGCTGCATGGATGCGCAGGGAGTCCTTGCCCAGAACGGAACCATACCGCCAATCCAAACTGTATGCTAATCGTCAATCATCTTTGACAATAGTGGTCCTGACAGAAATATATATACATAATTTTCTTACATTTTTTTTATTCTTTACTACTGTGTTGTATGTAATGTGGTGGTTGTATTTCTGAGCCGAAGACAAATTTCCCTCAGGGACAATAAAGTGTGTAAACCTAACCCAAGCAACTTTCATCCTGCAATCACCAAAAACATCACTGTGAAGATACTCTCAACTTTATTTGGAGGATAGGACCAAAGCCTTTTGAAATTTCAGAGATTACCACATTTGAATAGTGCAACACCATTGTCAACTTCAAGGTTTTATGAATAAAACTAGCCTAATATTTTTGAGCCCTAGAATTTGCTTAACCCCAAAAGTTTGGTAAAGTCCAGGTGGTGAAAGTTGACAAACTGCACGAAGACATGCAGTACACAAACCTAACTGCTTTAAAAACAGAACTGTGCCGATCCTTAGGCACTTTTTAAATACAGAGACGTTCATGAAAAAGCTCAAAGAAAACATTTGCAATCAATAAAAGGAACTACTGTACGGTTTTAGAAAATCCAGCTGCAAAGCTTAAATTCCCCTTTTTTTTTTTTTTTTTTTTTTTT